AATTGGAATTTTCTCTTACAGCTTGAGCCTAAGTGTGTCGCAGGATACCCTCTAGGCGATAGTTCTTGATAAATAATTCGTTCTTATTGCGAAATGGGAGCACTATTTATCAATCTGTAATAAAAGACGTGAGGAAATTTTTGAGGCAAAATATCCAACAAAAAGTTTGTAAAAAAAAGATTGTTCCAGTTTCAAGTGCCAATGAATTAACTTCCAAATCACCTAATATAAAGTGTCCGATATACATGACTAGCCCAGTTGAACCGAACAACTGCCCACAACGCATGCTGTGAAACCTTGTTGAAAAACGCTTAAAAATATTTACACGTCGTCAAATATACCCCTCGGCGGCGCGCCTTCCACTCTGCTATTATCCGCTTGATAACCATCTGCAAACCTCGTGTCCAGGTTCCTTCCGAAGCCAGTACTTGCTCCAAACCGCTCATCAATGTCGTCCTAGAAGGTTTCAATGAGGACAAATCACACCAATTCGGCAAATACGCAATCTGACTCACTTCCGCAGGAGGAAATCGTGTGTTTATTTCATCACTAGTGTAGGTGGTGCGATTGTACGTCTCCATGTTGTACGAGTCTCGAATTCTGCTGCCTTCGAATTGGTCTGTGGGACGAGCTAAACAAGCACTTCTTCACAGTACCCGGTCTGATTCACAGTGCCCGGCGCACTTACCAAGGTCGGCTGCGTTACTCGTCCTGAATCGACCATTGGTTGGAAACCTGTCCTGATACTCCTTCCGCCTATTCGATGACTCTTCAGCCCTCTGTCTTTTGCGCTTCTCTAAAAGTACACTTTGGAGTTTCTACAGTGCTCCGTGAGCCTTTCCCGCACCTCTTGTGATCAGTTCCCTTCCTTCTTGTACAAGATCGGTGGTGATTTCTTCGTCGCCGACAAACTGATGAAAGCCCAGCAGAGAGAGGCATCTGGATCCTAGATTGAAGTACGTTGCAAGGCAGAACACCAAAATCGCCATTGGAAAGTACAGGTTGAAGCCGTGCGAGATTATACCGATGACATCCATGTGGCCCATAATCTGAAACTGTTTAGTAACAACAAAGAGCCGAAAGCGGCAATGCAATATTCACCTGCGTGTATGAGGTTTCGTCTATTTGGCTATGAATCACATGACTGTCCATGTGGATCAGGCCCAGAAAATTGAGACACAATGCTGGTGTCAGCCTGCTGAACATCATCCCGGAGAAGATCAGACTGTGCTCGTTGGTCTGATGATGCGGGGCCAAGTAGTACAAGTTGAGCAGCTTGATTTTCAGGATGGTCGAATAAGCACAGAAGGATAAGTACAGAATTATAAATGTCGACAAAACCTAAACAGGAAGGCGGTTATTGAGCGAATTTACGCATTATAGGTGTCCCTACCTCTATCATGAAATAGTCGTAGCTGGCCTTAGCAGCGTTTACAATAACTGCGAAAAGCGACAAAGGCGGGGAAACACAGAAAAATGTTACTTCCGACCATATAATTGTCACGGACATTATGCATGTGACAATGCCGATTAACTTCCAGCACACTGGGGCCACTAAACATTTCCAATACCATTCTGCAATATAATGTTGACTGTGCGTAAACATATTTTATCAGCAACATTAACGCATCCACCTTACCTAACACGGGCACGGACAAATATCGGTTCGACCAGGAAGACTCCTTTTGAAAAGTCCGCTTAAACCGCCTATCCATCGAGACCTGATTCTTCAAGGTATCTTCGCATTCGAAAATCTTATCGAGCAATACATTCCACTGGGTTTCTGTTCGTTGCAGCACTTGCAACGACTTGATTGTCTAAGACAGAAGATCGCCCAGAGTTTCTCGAATACATTCCAGCATTACATCCTTACCTGCCTGTGTAGCCGAATCAGCGATTTCTCCGTGGGCAAATCATGTGTTACATCTTCAGGCAGCTGCCGTCTAGTCATCCGATCCTTAAGCTCCACAGGCACTTTCTGCAAAATCGTCTCCAAGGGACCGTGCAGATAATGGCCAGGCCGGATGACTGTGGCGATGGCTTGCAGCGACTAGAAACCCAAAGCATATTGCATATCTGATGCCAATTAAAAGCGGACCTACTTCCAAAACATCATCTACAGTTTCCTCGGCTTCGCATTTATCGGAGCTGAGCTTTGAGGCCTTGAAGTAATACTGAGTCAATTTTAAGCTGGCATTTGAATTGTTCCAGAAGTTTCGTGGGGCTTCCACCAATGAGTAGCCGAGTAATAACACGAGGAGGAATAAACCCCAGGTGTTACTTGCCGAAGAAGCGATTGCCTTCAGTTTACCCCTAAAGCCAAGAGCAATATGTATTTTGATCAATAACCGTCCATACTATATTCAACACAGTTTCATTGATCTGCAGTGGTTAGCAGAGACACTTAAAAGGAGCAACACTTAACACATTCATGCGGCGATAACATACCAGTCCAAGTCGATTCCTGGTTTCAGAGCCAAATAAATCAGCAGAATTCCGCATATCAACAAATAGGACCCATAATAAATGGCATTATCGACTAGAGCGGATTTCAGCTTGCCTTTTACTGTAAAATCGCCAGCTTTTATGTACGACTGCATCATGGGCATGATCATCCTAAAAAGTCGCAGGTTATCATACTGTACATATTGTAAAAAGGCCTCCATAACGTTACATACCAAGTCAAAAATTGCGTGCTCCAATACACGGTTCTCCATAAGTTTACAAAAACCCTTTCCGGTAAAATGCCCCATGGGAAGGTGCTGTCATCCTCAGAGTTATTCGCCCTTATATAAGTTTCTGTGCGGTTTTGCTGCCGATACACCGTCTAAAACGCATGGAAACTTATAGAAAATTGGATGATCTATTCGACGAACGGCAGTTACCGATATTATGTCCAGTGGAAGGGCAAATATGATTAGAAAACTACAAAACCATGCCAGCAAAACTGTAAGAGTCACGAATATTCTATGCCTGAACCAATTGCCATATCTGTACAGCACACTTGCCGATATGAAAAATGACAACAGAATTTTTAAAATGAGCGAAGCATACCCCATATTTTATATAAGGGAGTACAGTTTTAACGAGCTACTTAGTTTTATTAGTGCTTTGTAATTGATCCTTAGCTCTTTCAGCTTCTTGTTGCATTCTTTCCAGCTTCTCCAAAGTGAGGCTTTTCAGCGGGATCAGGCGCGGCTTACAGAGGACCAACTCCTGAACGTTCTCGGTCAAAATCTGTCCAGACTTGTTAATCGCTGGCTTCAATTGATCGCGAGTTGAAGACATACTCCAAGGGTAACTACCACATGTTTTTACCAGTTGTAAAAAATCAGCACAATAAATATTCCAACATATACTCAAAAACATTGACAAGACAGCCCAAGAGACAATAGCATGACAGAAGAGAGAAGAGCAGCATAACAAAGGACAGTCCAACGTTGCCGTTTACCATTGTAAGCCTTGCTTCATATTGGTCATTTCTAATCTAACGCCACGTCACGTCTATTCGTTGGCATGTTAGACCAGGAAAAAACTTCGTTTATTACTAGACCATAGATATAGACAACATAAATTTAAATTCAGACAAGTTATCTGCTGCATAGATAAAGACGAGCAGATCATGGGGAGCCAGTTACGATATATGCGCTAGTGGGAGAATAGAAGAACCTCCGTGATTTCCCACATAGCAAAATGATATTCCCAGAATATACCTGGAACATTCATGTGATGTCCATGCATGTATACTCCACGAACATTCATGTTAGGAATGTTCAACCATGTATATTCCCAGGATATTCCCGCAATATTCTGTATATTTTTTGAACATTCCGGGATATTCATAGAATATCAAATGCTATCTGGGTTAGCAGCTAGAAAGAAGAGCTGTAGAGAAGTAGAAGTTGTACAGTGATGTTTTGTAAATTTGTACATTCGCATGCTCACGCCCATGCTTCTAGAATTAGGAAATGCATTTGATTTTTTTTAGAAAACTCAAATTTGTTCCGCGTGCTGAAAATGCTTTTCTGAATTCCCATCGTTATAACTGATATCGAATTAAATCGTCCTTTTGAAAAAGCACCACAATATGAAATAATTAGATATTAGGGCGTGGTTCGTAAATTAGAACTATTTGGCTCTATAATCAATATGGACCTAACCTATGGACTGGACCTAACCTATTATTTGTTTACAACTCTGCTGTTGTCTAGAACGTTTGTAAATTCTTTTGCTTCCAAATTGAGCGGTTTTAAACATAAAACCGCATTTCATTAATCAATGGTGTTGTCAACACCATTGCAGAGTCTTTCAGAGTGTTTCGTAAGAAGAAACAAAATGTTTTCCAAAGACTACAACTATTTTATGGTAAGCGTAAGCCGCGGCGAGTTGAGTGGGCTTTGCAATGCATCTCTAAACTAATTTAATGCTCGCAGGATTGTGTGCAACGCGCCCTGCAACTTCCAATTCGCAGCCGATGTGCAGAACTCACGTTACGACTGGACCGAGCCAGCTTGCAGGAGCTCCACAATTGCTTCCCTATTTTATTGGACAGTATATTCGGAACGCAAGGCACCCCCTGCTGGGGCCTTAGAGCGATAACCGAAAGAGACGGGGAAGATTACAGACAGCTCAATCATTTTCTTTCGCCCAGGGGTCCACTGTTTAATCTAATTTACCGACTGCTGAAAGATCCCAATATAAAATACGAGTTTCCTTTGTCGTTCTTACCAGTGAGTGGCCCAAATATTCTCAGTAAGCGGCTGTATTTATGTAGTATTCCTGATGATTTCAGGTGAAAATTAAGCAACTGTTAGAGGCCCCATCTGGTCATCCGTTTTACTCCGAGTTAGTCAACACTAATCCTCAGACTAAGCAGTGTCGGTCATTGCTGTTAAGTGAGTAGTTATGGCAAGCAAGTAGCGATTATTGAGTATGAGACACCTTTGCAGATCCGTTTGACTACTACTTTTTCCATTTTGCTTATCACTTGATCAATCCCTGGCAGCAACGAGCTGGATCGGCTGTAACTTCATGGAACACTGTGTATTATTGCTTGTGTTGCGATTATATCTTGCATTTCTTGCCCATCGACCCGGCAGCCAAAATACACCCGGAGATCTACTATAATGGTAAAAATCCTCTTCAGCGAACCTCTCCTCAATCAAGTGCTCATCAAGGTTCCCCAAGAACTCCCGGTGGGGCGTACAGTAACCTAAGAGAGGATCCTGCGGGGATCAATTTGCGCAGCCATCATCCGAGGAACGAGATCTGGCGCAGTGAAACTGTCTTGACGGTCTTCACCGATATTTGGCTATATAACGACTCAGTAGTAAGCCAACCGGCCACCACAACGGATATAAATTATGCGTTCAGTTCATCTGCAATGGTAAGCTCTGGTAAAACTCTCTGCTTACTCTACCAGCGTTGTTGTTGTTTTCTAGAGACTCTATTACAACGAACTTCCCACTGGGGAATACATGAGGATTGTGAGGGTGCTGTTGAAGCAGCTGCACGCTTTTTCCGACAGTGCCAAGTGCGACGACACTTACCTGTGCGAACTGAAGAAGATTTCCATCCCAATGATTCAGGGCAAGTTTTACGTGTTTATCCGCAATCTAATCTACAAGTGGCCCTTAGACGGATCGTTTCGACTAGTTTTAGAATTGTGGTTGACTTACATCCAACCCTGGAGATATCCAGCCAGCAATTTGATCAAGCGATTGTAAGCAAGCCCAGTTTGGCACGCACTGTTCCATTTGCTGCTAATTCTGTATTATTTCTAGGGTGAAACAGGACGGAAATCCGGACGCTGAGGACATCACTCTAGGCGCAAATCAACTGCAGATGAGCCCGACGATAGAACACTTGCCCTTTATCGCTAACAATTTGCTATGTTACGTTGCCATTTTTGAGCAGCTCCTTCCCAGGTTCATGAGGGTGGACTTGGTGAGCCCGAAAATGTCTCTAATGCTTTACCGAATATCAAAAGTGAGCAGCTTGTGTGAATTGCGTCCTGAAACTGTACAGAGGATGGTTTTTAGGTTTTTGACCAGCCCAACTTGCCGAGTCTTTTGCGCGAAGTCGAGCAGTGTCTGGAAAATGGACAGTCATCGTCACCCAAGCACAAGAACTACGCAGGCTGGGGCAACCATATAACTTTACCCACATATCCGGCTCCTTTCAGCGGCAGTAAGTCGTCAAACAGCTTAATTACGATTGGAACTTTGGATGTCTTTCAGGGTTGGGCAATATTTCCCTCCGGAATAGTCCGATGGGGCCAAGCGACCATAAATGGGCGTCCATTACCCGGCAGAAGATTTTCGAACTGGAAGGACCCAATTTCACCTACAGGCCTCTGTTTGCCAATCCACCGGCCCATGAGGTACGAACGGGAGATTTTCTATATTCGATGCGTACTCAATGGTTTATTGGCTTGAAGGTATACGAACTGCTGGTTCAAATCAAGAAGTCCATAGGATACGCCCAGAACCTAATTGCGAACAAAGAGCAGGAGGAGAAGGTGCTATACTCGGGGTTTTGGGGATCGATCAAATATTTCCTACAATCCCCAGTTTCCACTGATGACTTCACCTTGGACGATAGAAGAAAAGTTCCGGTGTATTTGGAAGTCGCCTTCAACAACTTGAGAGAAATGTTTGCCATTAATGAAGAGGTAAACGATCGGAATCAAATAATGCAGACACGCTGATCAATAAGAGCTGCCCCAATTTCAGATCATTGTGGATGAAGTCGAGCCTGTACCGACCTCCAATGGGAACGAATTTGAAATGTCCGGCGACTTCAAGTTCTTGACACCAGAAAAAGTGCGCCAGCGACTGAAAACTATTAGATACGATGGCGATCCTGATTTAGAGCCGATAAAGTCTACCGAATGTACTTTCATGGTTCGCGCGTTGTATCAGCTGGCCACCAAAGTTAACGAAAACGTAAATGCAGTCATAAATGAAGTTTTCGCAATGAGACAACTTGTTTAGGAATGTTTTCCGGGCGTTCAAAAACCGGTTATACAGAGTGTTCTGGTTTGGAAGAGGTTCAAGAAAGCAAAAATCGGGTATAAAAATGGAAAACCAATTTGGTCCGGTGTGGAAGACTTTGAAGACATTCAGGTGGAAGGTCGAAAATCGGGTATTAAGATGGAAAAAACGTTTACATTTAGAAATGTTTTTCGGGCTTTGAAGCCGTGGTCCATGGGAATTTCTTCCTGACGTTTCGTCCACAACTGCGGTGGACATTATCAAGGCCTCATCGCGCTCA